GTTGTATACGATAGGGGGAAGAGGTGGAGCATGAGCCTGGATAGGAGTTAGCTGCAGTTGATGTAGCTTCATCAGATTTAAATATGGTGCCAGGGATGCCAGTCCAGTCTGGGATATCCAGGCAGTGGCTAGTTCTTCTGGCTATGACGATTGGTTGAATTGAACTAGCATCTGACGACAGGGGTGACTTAACAGCGGAGTAGCTCGTTAATGATACAGGTTTGGAATGATTGTATGGGAAAACTTGCCAGGCCTCGCATTGAGAAACCTTCCATGAGACTTGACAAGATTGACACAGTCAAAACGTAAGATTCAGTGTTAAGTTGGTATTGCTTAAATGACAGGTCTTTTTGTTTAATAATCAAATGTGAAATATTGAGGTACAGTTCTGTTAATTAATGTGTATTGATTTCTCTTTAAACAATAATCAGCAAAACATTTTTTGCCATTGCCCCACAAAACTGATAGCAACTTTGACAGTTTCCATGCAAACAGTTAAACACAGCAATCCAGAAGTTGTTGCCAGTGACTCTGCGTGTTTCTGTAGGATGTGCTGTTGAAGAATTCACAGATGGTAATCCATTGAACTCCCTGCACTGACAAGAAATTGCCCTTTTACACTGTGATATTGCATCAAAAAAGATTTGCTTTGACAATGAGACATAATTCAGTTTCAAACAATTTCTAAATCCAAACAACTTCTGAATGACCTCTCTGGCCTTGGAAATATAATATTGTCTTTGTGTAATATTAAAATTTTTGACTCTGATTAAAAGTCCAGTGTTCTTATATAAATATATCATTTGATATTTCAACTTTGAATGAGTATATCCCAATGTTTGTTTTGCTATCATTCACTGTTTGTGAATTTTACAATCAATGCATTTTATTTCTTGGCTTGTTGTCTATGAATGATAAGCTACTTACCCTGCATTACGACATGGATATTTCTGAATGCCTGAAGACCCCTTAACTTGATGCCAGATTCAAATTAATGCCAGAAAGGGTGAAATCCACACCACAGAGATCTCTATATCTCTGTAAGTAGCTTTCTCCAACGTTAAGGGAGAATGCTGTTGTTTCACAGCTGACCACAAACCTGGGCTATTGTAAACTAGAGTACAAAAGAGAAAGCATTTTGATTGTAATCTTACAACAGTACTGTAATTAAGTATAGGTTTCTTGTTATCAATACTGATCCACTGTTGATTCATGTAGTACATTGCACTGGTCTCAGTTCAGCAATTGTACTAATCTATCATTAATGCCAAAAATACTGTTGTATACTGTTCCAGAAGTCTCCCAGTGCTGTGTGACAGCAAAGGATACAGCCTCAGCTCCAATACATTTCTATTGTTTATGTTTCTAGCCAAGCCTTGTAGATAAATTCCCCTGGGATTCAATTAATATCAGAGTTCATTAGTAAGCCTAAAGGTGAACACAAAAATGATTCGAAATGAGTAACAAAAATCATCAAATTAAAGATGGCTTAGAATCAATGCAAGAATATATTCTTTGTAGTAAATGCTTTGAAAATTTCTCCAATGCTCTTCCACCTCAATGATGTTAGTAGTTGAGGTAGTTGCTCCTACATTTTTTTTAGAAAAGAAGGCACTGGGCATATTAACTGTCCCCAACACAGGAAGATTGAGTGAGATTATGTTGATTATTATGTCCGAAATAATGTCAGCACCTGTGAAGAAAGCACAAAATGCCTGTGCCCTATTTTAATAAGATGTATTGTTCTTATCCATGACTTTGATACCCCCTTTATGAGCATCAAAAGCAAAAACTCAGTGAAACGTTGTCCTTAGAATTTTCAGATTTCCTGTGCTTTAATCTTAAGAACAAGCACAAGCCCTTGGGGGAGAAAGGTGCTCTTATAAAATTAAAGTCATTTTACTCAGCTATTGAAACTGATTTAACTGACAATGTGATTTATCAGTTGTAGAGATTTACACAATGTTGATCTTAAATATTACAACCAGTCAAGACCAATAAGGAGAACTAAATGTAGCATTGAGATTCCTTTGCGAAATGAAGGCATCTGTTCAAGGGAATGTATTTAGGTGTGGAAGATCGGAAGGAAGGAAATGGAAAAAGCACATGGACTAATCAATAGAAAATGATGAAGTAGACATTTAAAGCAGGGAAAAGAAAAAGAATTGGACCTGCACCTCTATTTTACGACCTTCTACGATTGTTCCATTTAATTTCTCCCGTGCCCTGTCCGCGTCAGCACTGGTTTCAAAAGTTACGAAACCAAATCCCTGCATGCAGGTAAGAGAAAAGGAAAAGAGAGATATGCATATGATTATACAGGGAATAAGACAGTCTTCTGATATGTTTCAGTATACTAGCTGGAACATCAAAGTAGCAAAGTCATTCTATGAGGCCTCAGAGCAAATAGATCCAAGAATGTGAAATGGAAAGTATACTGAGAGGAAAAGATATTGTTGCCACTATTGAAACACATAAGTAAATTATTTACACTTCTGTTACGATTATGGTTCAGCTACAATATGCTTGCTAGGATCCTGAATCTTGTAATTTGACGACCAATAAAATTGAATAAGCAAAATGGTCCATTTCCAATGATTGTGTGACGAAGCAAAGTAGGGGCCATTAGCAACTAAGTAGGTTGAAACTAGATGAGACCATTTTAATTTCTTAAAGTTCAATCTATTCCCAATGAGATTCCGTTGCACCCCACTTTTGGATCAAAAAACTAGTAAGATAAATTGTAAGATGTAGGAAAATAGTTTACAGTTTTTGTTATGAGCTGACATGCAATGACATTAGGTTTTGGGTATTTGATGGAACCCGTCCTGCCCTAGTTTCAAAATTGATCTGATAGCTCCTGATACCAGCACCTTCACTTAATTGTGACTTTGTAAAATTAGGCAAAATGTAGCAACAAGGTTGAAAGTTAATTCATCCTGAATAAACCTACTGATGCTGGCCCTTTATTTTGCAGTGAACATAACAATAGGCCATTAGACATCTAAAGGTCTTAAGAATAGTTATAAAGGATCCTAACAGGCTTTATATTTTTTAATTGCATGCCACATCATATATGATAATAGGCATGGTCAAACATAAACACAAATATCTTTGATTTTAATTTATCTTGTAGTGGTTGTATTGGATAAAAACAGATAAACTATATGCCTTCCATTCTTTAACACACATTCAGCAACCCTAGTGCAGCAAGTAATTGTTAACTTTATGCATGAGCTAAAGGAAAGTTCTGAGTGATGACACTGTCTGGCAGATGATACCACAAACAGTGTGTGAAGCTGGGCTGCTGGTCTTGTGTGTGGAGCTGTACAGTGCCATGTGATTTCTGACAAAAATATAGAGCTTTGGTTTCAACACAAACAATTGTGGATCTGCTCATGTCATAATCTTGTTGAAAACTGACAGCTGCTGACAAATCTTCACAGTTGTTGGAACTCTGGCATTGAAGTAGATATCCTTATTGAGCCTACTGGTCTATGCGGATCTATGTGCAGTCAGCTAAACAGAACTACAATATTGGAAGACTAGAGTAGATATTGGCTTTTAAGTCCTCAAAGATTCCCAACAGTGAAAAGGAAAGCCAAGTTATCTCGAGGAGTCTCACTTTATAGCCAGCTTTTCAACCCAGCATTGACACTTACTTTTCCTAGCGTAGGTCAGATATAATTACTAGGTCAAAAAACTGAATGGTTGTAACAGGAAAGCGTTTGGAAACTGTAGAGTGGAGAAAGGTTGGGAAGATGACAATCAATCATCTTCAACAGTTATTGATTGGTCCCCTTACCATTGAGGTATTATGTCATTTGGCCATCCTACCTGACTGATTTGATTGCTGCTAACATTTCATGTGTATAATTAGCTACCTTATGGAAGCTGGCATCACCAAGAAGATAGATGATGTGGCTTGTTATTATCTGTGTCAAGTCTGTGCTGAAGGCAGAGAACAGGATGTTGCCAAATATGTTTTTGACAAAGATTCTGTGATGCCAATGCAATATGAAGACAAATTAATTTGGAACTGGCATCCATTTGGAAAGTAAAATATTTAATTTAGGACATGACATCTCATCTTCTCCATGAAGTTGGACATCATGATGTTTTAAAAGACCCTAACAATGGCAAGGGCTGATGTTTTCACTTGGCATTGGAAATTGGGAGAATTGCTTCATTTTTAGTGATTAAAATATGCATCCTCTATTATTGCAAATTACTGTTGATACAGCAGATTGTGAAGACACTTTTATTTCCTTTGGCTTTCATGAGTTTCCATTTATTGATGGAACAGGTAATAGTTGTAGTTATTAAGGTTAAGGGGCAGATCCCTTTGGAATCACAACTTGCTGCTTTCCAAGCATTTAAGGGCATTTTTGTTGAAAACAATAGATTGGAATCAAAACTATAAAGGAGTTCAGAGATAGTAGGAACTGCAGATGCTGGGGAGTTCAATCAGATCATGGCATCCATGGCTCTGAGCCTGGTAAAGTCTTTTTGGTATCTTAAACACAATTGATCTGAGTTGGATGATTGCTATACATCGATAGAACACAGATACAGAATACTGAATTGAGAAAATATGATGGAACAATTCAGCATTATCCACAGATTTGAGTCAAGTAATGCTGCTGTTGGGCACCAAGTGTTCTGCCACCTGTACCGGACGATTGAGACTCAAAGATAACACCTTTCCCTAAAGAAGGAGCTATTCAGCTTGATCCACTTAACAAATAGAATGATCTATTAAAATGTTTTATATTCTCGGCAACCTGATTACAAACTTGCCTGGTCATTATTTTTTGTCTTTTTTGGCTTATAAAGCCTTAATATCCACATTATATAAATTTGACATATCATGAATTTTAATTTGGTAATTATAGCAATAGTATCCTGCATGCCATTCTTTATAGAGTAAAATGTAACTGTTTGCCATTGCTCATTTAACATGTAGAGGTCAGAATGACATCCTTTGATATAGGTAGAATCCCTATACATGTGAAAACAATTAGCCCGATGAACCAAAATGCAGTAGACAAATTATGATTTGTAGTAGCCAAGAGCTACTGTACATTTTCAAGTCTCACGGTGATTGCAAGTCTTTGGGTAGACGGAGAATACACAGAACATTGTATAGAACTTACATTGCTATACAGGGAGAAGAGAAAACAAATAGCACCTTAAATTTTCTTGAAATTGGGCTTTGTTAATGCATTCCAATAATAATTTATTCCATAAATTACAGGGTTAAAGGGGTTTATATTGTTTTGCAAATTAAATTGCATAAGCAAATTTAACCCTTCAAATACTGAGGCAGCCTTTAACCACACTTCAAATCTTTTTTACTTTGAAAATACATCTAGCTCTACATCTCATCTTTTATAATATTAATTTAGTTCTTCAGCTTTAACCTTAAATTTCTTATTATCATCATTTGGCACAAAGTGCAGTGGCATGTCTCACTGTTTTTACACCAATGCGGAAGGTAAGCGTTTACAAAGGAGATTTCTTTTTCCGGAAAGATATTTTGACTTCATAGAGCTCAATACGAAAATGAAAAGAAAGTTATGTCTCAAAGTTATCGAATGTTTGAAAAAAAATCATAAAAATGATCAATATTCCAAGGAATTGCAAATGGTTTAGGAGTTTTTTTAACCAAACTAGTTCTATTTGTGCAAGATAAGGAAAGTGTAGTGGCAGTTCTGAGGAAGTGTTAACACTGTACAGGGAAATTGGGTGGTCTATAGGGGGATTGCAACACTGCATGCACAAAGCTATATCTAAAGATAGCAATTAATCACATCTGTATTTTAAGTGCCTGTTCTCTGTCAGTCTTGTTCTCTTTATAGGTTTGTACAACTGCTACACTGAATGTTCAAAACATTAGTCTTAGGATTAGTCTTGCAACAAGTAGGAAGCAAAATAACAGTCACCTTATTTAGGTACAGGTTGCATACCTCCTTTATGTTCGAAATTATTCTGAGAAAGTTGTCTTTACATTGGTCTTAAAACAAACACTTCAACACATCAGCGAAAGTGATTGCTTTCAATTACTGTGGAAGGATGTTTGTAGTGTGCTTAAAGGAACCTTCTGCTCATCTAAGATACATTAAAGACATGCTGTCATTGTTTCCAAATTACTCCATGTCTTAGAATAGCTGTTGGTTGCGGAAGAACATATGGCCTTTTTCAAACATATGGGAAAATTACATTCAGTGTACAAAACTACCATATTTCCAATTCTTCACCAGATTAACATTGTACACCATGATTGGCAGATTGGCAGAAGATATAGCAGATATTTGCAAATGTTTGGACGATTTTGGAATATGTGTAAAATAAACTGTAGTTAATTGTGGTCAATTAGCACTACATTGATGCTACGATAAATTGAGGGGATTTTAATTGTAGTGGTCATTTATCAGTCATTGCCTCAAGTCTAGCATACCAATGGCGAAAAAATGTTCAATCTGATGGCATAGCCTTTATTTCCTCTTCATAAAATGGGCTGGCTCTGTAAGTCTATAGGTGCTTGAGCCTTATTATACTTCCCTCATTGTTAAAATGGGAAGTTGCTTCCTCAGGTCTTTGGCAATATTGTTCGAAAACTGTTAACAACACAGTGGGAAAATTTAGACATACACAGAGGGACATTTGGCAAGAGTCCTGTCCTACTGGTCAAAGGATTTCATGGTAATGTTGTTGTGAAAAAGTCAAAGTATTAGCAATAACAGTAGTTGTAGATATAGGAGAGTATTAGAAGTTAGTTGTAGATATAAAGTAATAAATGAAGAAGTTACAGTAATGTTGTAGTCGTGGTAATGTAGAAATAGTATTTGGATAAATAATTTAACGTTGTAGAGATAACAGCCATTACAGTCATTGCTTCAGGTTCTCAGATCACAAAATTCAACTCCCTGATCCCAGAGGCAGATTTGGCCAGTGACTTGAATTAGGAAAATTGGATTTAGCAATGTAAATGATAATAGTTACAATATTTTTCTGGAATCAATAGTAAACAGTGCCAATATGGAAATGTTTAACCTCAAACAAGCGTTTTCCTTACAATCGAATCAGAGATAGTAGGAACTGCAGACGCTGGAGAATCCGAGACAACAAGGTGCAGGGCTGGATGAACACAGCAGGCCAAGCAGCATCATAGGAGCAGAGAGGCTGACGTTTCGGGCCTAGACCCTTCATCAGAAAAGCTTTTCTGATGAAGGG